CTGCAAGTGTTTCTAGCCGAGCCAAGAACACGGGCTCAAATAGTTTGCCAAGGCATGAAGTTAACGAGATGGGGTGAAGATTTGATAAATCTGTCTTTTTTTCGGGCTTTCGTATAAACACTATTTTCGCGTGCTTCAATTCTACTGGTATACTTCTGTTATACTTCCCGCATGCCAGCAGTCATTGAAACATTCAATAATGGCAGTTACTGACATTGCTCTAAGGTTGCGGATTATTTTGTTGGAGACACCGTCTGGACCTGATGCCGAAGTTGTGCGAAGCTTTAGAATGGCTGCATATACTTCGGCTTCTGTGATGCGGGCATGACGAGTCGAGTTTGGTTTACCTTCATGGGGTGGTAGTGGTGTCGCTGGTTGGTGGGACTTGGTTGATGAATTTGTCTGCCAGGTCGTTTAGTAGATCTTCGTCTGATCCGAGGAGTTGGTGGACAAATCACTTAAGTCTGTGCCGTGCGGCTGTTTTCGAGTGTCGGGATCCAGTAAGTGGCGTAACAAGTGCCACGTCTTCTTGTTGCCTAGCTTGTCCACTGAGTCCGCTGCACAGTTGGCCCCATTGCTGGCGGGCTAGGCAGGTACTGTGTCGCTCGATTTCTTCAGAGAGGATCTGTATGCGACGAAACAGTTTCTTGTTGTAGCGTTGCTTCTGCCATCTGCGCAGCAGGCTTGCGTGTGCATCCCACATGTGGAGAAGACGAGAGTCTGTGGCAAGCATTTTCTCTGCTGCTTTACTTTCGCGCGTTGTGCATCGCACGTGGTCGTTTAGTGAGGCTGTCTATTCCTTGAGGTTTGTTATGCGTTCCGGGGCTTCACTTTCGCGGACGTCTCTAAATTTGGGCCACTCCGTGATTCGAGCGAGTGCTTTGTGTACTCTGTTGGCAGTGGACGTCTGTACCTGGATGGAAATCATGTAGTGGTCACTACCAGCGAGTTGACAGGTGTTCTCCCATCTGGCCTGCGCAATATTCTTGCAGTATGCGAGATCGGGTGACGTGTCCCTACACACGCTGTTTCCTATGCGGGTCGGTGACTGCTGCAGGTCATTTAGTAGAGTGAGACGGAGGTCCTGTCTGAGTTGCCATAACTTCTTGCCTCGTTTGTTTGCCTGCAGGTAGCCCCAGTCATGGTGCCTGGCGTTGAAATCTCCCAGTATAAGCAGTTGTGCTCCTCGAGATAGCCATGTGGTTTTCTGGAAGAGCAGGTTGAAGTCGCCGGCGCGTTCCAGGTGTGCGCAATATACGTTGATAAAGACTGACTGACGCGAGCATTTTCGGGGAAGAATTTCTACGGCCGTCTGTGGAATGTCCGGGAATTATAAGTCGCGTTGTTTTGCCGTGAGGCTCTTGTGGACGAGCGTACCTGTACTTGGGGTTTCTTGGTTGTGCAGGTCGGTGAATTGTTGGAAAGCAATGCAAACCGGGAGTGAGATAGCAGCTGTTGTTTCCTGTAGTGCGGTGACGTCGAGAGGCGTTTGGCAATTTGGTAGTTGTGTTTCTCGTACGAGTGACTGCAGGTGGGCTCTCTTTTTACAGAAGCCCCTGCAGTTCCACTGCCATATAGTCAAGTGGGTGCTGGTCATGATGCATCAGCTGGACCATTACTTGAGGGCGTCGTGGGTTCGCTGTGCTGGGTGGAAGAGTGAGAGGACACTCTGATGCATATGATAGCTGGTGCTCTGGCCATGCTTTGTTCAATTACTTCAAAACTGGTGTGTGTTGCAGTTTGAGTGCTTCTAATCCGGCTACGGCGCTGTTTACGGTGGCTTCCGTGTTTGAGAATCGTGCCTCTATGTTCGTTAGGCATGAGTCTACGGTTGCGAAGGCCCCTGTTACAGCAGCGCATATGGCGTCGGCTACCGTGGCTATGTACTAGTCGTGCGGAGGGCTTCGGCAACGAATGCTGTTGACCGTTTGAATGATTCTTGCCGTCGTTTCCTCTTCAAATCTCAGCGTTTCCGTGGAAGTCGTTGCTTTACGTTTGGCTGCTGCTGGCTGGTTGGGGCTGTGGAGTTGAATTATGCATTGACTGGCTGGCCTTTGCCAGTCTGCTTTCTAGAGAGGGGTTCCGCACAAGCAGCGTTTCGATGTGAGCTTGTTGCATCGCCATTTGAGATTTCAACGCATTGATTGTTTGCGTAAGTTTTTTCTCCTGTATATATTCCTTCCCTCTCTCCCCTTCCCGAGTGCAGGGTAGCCTACCAGGGCTCAGCCCTGGTTAACCTCCCTGCCTTTCTCCTTATGTTCTCTCTCTCTCTCCTTCCGTGACGAGTGGGTCATGCGTCGAGGCACACGATTTCGATGGCTGCGGGGGAGGTGATGGAAGTGGAGACGCTGGGCTTTGCGCGCGGGCCACACTAGGGTTGCTTGATGATGCTTTTCATAAATCGGCATGCCGAATGTGACTTGATGATCGGGTTCTTGATTTGGACCTTGAGATGGAGGTTTCTCGACCCTGACGAGATCATGACTTCGATCGGCTGTCCCGTTTCGTCGGGGTTTGTAATGTCACGAGATTGGGGTAGTTACATTCGTGCAAGGCAGGCGGGCTATCGTCATTTGAGGTTTGCTGCGTAACTGGATACTCGGTTTGTAGCATCTTCTCTGCTTGTGTTGCGTTAAGCGGTTAAGGCTTTTTGGCGAAGCGGTACTGGCATATTTAACTGTTAGTCACGTGTCCTTCTTGACAGACGACACAGCGTGCTTGGCATTTTGGTGGCGTTCTTTGCGGCGGTGGCTCGTGGACTTCTAAGCGAGCGCAGCGAGCGCTGTGTTGAGAAGAGGGAAGGCTGCGGACGGCGACGGCGTATGACTAGGCCCTAGTATAACAAGCTCCGCATGTAAAAAGGCAGCATATCCACGGGATAATTGATGGAGAGCGGGGCGAAACATCTGTCCGACCATTCGTTCTTGCTTCCGTCTATCCATGCATCCGTCCGTGTGACCGTCCATGCGTCCATCCACACGTCCGTGCGTGCGTCTGTTCATGCGTCCGCACGTCCATCCGTGCGTCAATCCCTGCGTTCGTCCATGCATCCGCCCCTGCGTCCATCCATGCTTCGCCCGTTCGGGCAGCCATCCGTGCGTCCATCCATGCATCTATCTGTGTGTCCGTTCGTCCATCTACTCAACACTCCAAGTACCACCATCTCGCATCTTTTCATCATATATTCCTCATATAGAAGCACCGCCATCCAGCGGACATTTCAAGTACTAAACGAGAGGTGGCACACGCACACTTTCTTACGGCTTGCGCTTCGTGTCTACTTCCCACCTTTAACCACCTCGAGTTCATGGTATATACTAGTTCACTGTATTCAAGACACTGCGGCTCAACACTCGCTAAACCTTTATAAAACTAAGGAGGTTACACCCAGCGAGTATAACGTAGCAACCTTTTCCTGTCAGATAGTGCTCAATGTACATGCCAATTGCTGCTAATGGGAAATGAGAGACAGGAGAATTCGGCTTTAATTGTCTTACGGCTTGCGCTTCGTATCTACTTCGCACCTTTAACCACCTCGAGTTCATGGTATATACTAGTTCATTGTATTCTTGGCACTGCGGCTCAACACTCGCTAAACATTTCTAAAACTAAGGAGGTTACACCCAACGAGTATAACGTAGCAACCTTTCTTGTCAGATAGTGCTCAATGTACTAGTCAATGGCTTCTAACGGGGATCGCAGCGTGTGCGTTAACTAAAAGCCAAATGCTCCTGTCTCTCATTCCCCATTATCAGCCATTGGCATGGACTTTGATGTCTATTCTTTATTGTTCAACAACGCACAGAAAAAATCTTCCACCGGCACCACCTTGGTGGTCAAAATGTCACAATTGTTACACACTACGACTACGAGGGACGAACGGATACCGCTATAAGAAGCTTCGCCCCTAAAAACCGCGAGCAACTGAAACTATTGAATTTCGAAATTGAAGACATTCATCTTGGCATTTCGATGTGGTACGATTTTGCCTCAATTTTTTCAGGCAAAATAGGATTTTGCCTGATTTTGCCTGCATACAAATGGAGAGTGGTACACTTCACTTTTAGGGGCGAAGCTCCTTATAGCGGCACCCGTTCCTCCCTCGTAGCCGTTGTAGTAGTGTGTAACAAGTATAACATTTTGACTTCCAAGGTGGTGCCGGTGAGAGATTTCTTCTGTGCGTTGTTGAACAATAAAAGATAGTGCTCAATGTACATGCCAATGGCTGCTAAGAGGGAATGAGAGACAGGGGAATTCGGCTTTAAGTTAACGTGCACGCTGCGAATTTTTTATTGCTCAACAATGTACAGAAGACAAGAAAGGGTTGCTAGGTTATACTCGCTGGGCGTAACCTCCTAGGTTTTAGAAAGTTTTAGCGAGCGTTGGGCCGCAGTGCCATGAATACAGTGAACTAGTATATACCATGAACTTGAGGTGGTTAAAGGTGGGAAGTAGACACGAAGCGCAAGCCGTAAGAAAGTGTGCGTGTGCTTCCTCTTGTTTAGTCCTTGGAATGTCCGCTGGATGGTGGTGCTTCTGTATGAGGAATATATGATGAAAAGATGCGAGATGGTGATATTTGGAGTGTTGAATAAGTGGACGAACGGACACACAGACAGATACTTGGACGGATGCACAGATGGCTGCACGGACGGGTGGACACATGGACGGACGCAGGAGCGGATGCATGGACGAAAGCAGGAACGGATGCACAGATGAACGTTCGGATGCACGAACAGATGCACGCACGGGCGGGCGGATGGTCACGGGTGGCCACACATACACACGCATGGATGGACAGAAGCAAGAACAAATGGACGGACGGATGCTTCGCCCCACTATCCATCATTCACTCCGTTGATATGCTGCCATTTTTTTTTGCCAAATTGGGCTGTGAAGGGACTAACAAAACTTCTTGAGAAGGCGTAGCTCCAGCCATTACTGAGTGTTGTCATGTCTTCTTCCTTATGGTAAAAGAAGTAAGGCCACAGTTCTCTTACTTGGTTTGTATGGTGGTTGATTGAGATTGTCCTGAAGACATCCGTTGACCGAACCATTGGCGTAGTTAGACGGCTCATTACCAGTCTGCGAAAACAAAAACAAAATTCTATAACTAATTCCTCCAGCTTCCTGGGTGACACAAAAAAGTTTTTTTTATCAAGGTTATCATTTTCCGTTTTGCACTGAACACATTTCTTAAAAGCGGAGATGACCCGAAGAGGAAGCTTCACCGTGGCGGCGAACGATGACAGGACAAAAAATACAGGACAATGCCTTGACTTTATGCTGAAGTTTACTACACAAAAAAGTAAGAAAAAAAACCGTAGGTAGCGCTGTGCAACCTTTTTTTTTTAATCACGTCTTATCAGGTCACCTAAGCTTTCAAGCTTCTGACTGACGTACTTATTTCATACCTGTCTTTTATGCTTCTCTCTCTCTCTCTCTCTCTCTCTCTCTCTCTGTGAAATGTGCTGCCCACACTCTTCTAAGGCCTTTTCTCCGTCCTCCCTTCTTCCTATAGAGTAGCATGTAGGCGAATGTATGCTTGCTAATCGTTTGGCTCTCAGTTCACCAGAAGAGACAGTTACTGATAAAGAACATCTCAAAATGTATATCTCTAAACTGGCGCTAACTGTTGTTTTTATGCGTGCGGAGACGAAATAGCAACATTCAAGTTGATCCCGACCTATGGCGTTATTCCGATACATTCAAAAAGCTGTCATGGTAACAAGAGCATATGATTCGCTTTAAAATACATGTAACACTTTTCCAATTAACCATCGATTGGTTTCATAAAAGACGTTTATTGCCTCACGAATCGACCACTGCAAGAAGTTTTACAATCCATCAAGTAGAGATTTGCCGCACGCTGCAATTGCTTCCTCTATTTTCTCGTCCCGACGAGTGCGCGGAGCCAAGCAAAGAAGGTTGGCAGAAGGAAAGAAGTTACGTCACGCGTGCATTATCACCTTGAGCACTTTTTTCCTTTTTTCTGTTTTTTTTTTCAAACGCGTGGTTTACATTCAGTGCGATTGCGAGCTTGTGTGCACAGCGTCCTCCCGTGGCGGCTTTGGTAACTATGTAGCTCCGGATGGTTAATCAGGCAATGGCCGTGAATTTCGGTGTATAGCATGGTCATTAGGGGTGTAAGGCCTCATTTGTACAAAAATGAGGGAACAATTTCTACCTGACTGAAAATTAATTGCTGAATTCCTGGCCGCGTGCTAGGGCTATAATGTATGGCTCGCGTCTTCTCAGGAGCCTCGACTATAACCATCAGCAGTGTTTTCTGACCTTGCTGAGAAACGTAGGTGCAGATCCTTACAAGAAACTTTGTGTTACATTCATGGAATAGCAGGTGGGTATTCTTACAATCCAGAGACCATCGAAAGGCACGATTTGGTGAAATTCACGTAGTTGCTCCGACCACCATGCTTGAGTCACAGGATTCCCGAAGTCTGGAAACATCATATTACCTGGCCAACCCTGCGAGTAAAAAAGGAGAACAGGGGCAATGTTGTGAAAACGATAATTACAGAAAAGCTGTTTAAAATATCGCAAAACTGTGCCGCTGGTGTTGTCAATTGTTAGAACGTCTATCTGAAATGCTGGTGGTGTTTGATCATATTTTCAGCGGCGCAGTTCATGTGCCAGTATTGCGGCACCAATTATATTGATACTCATGGCGCATTTTTGCTGTCGTAGTCGCTGTGAGGTTTTGTATAAAGTCCAAGCTTGGTAAGGTATCGCCGCGTGTCGTATGTTTGGCGTGCAAGCGAAAACATGAAAGGGCACTCGATGGCCGCGACTCAAGCGGATAGGGAGTGCATCAGCCTTGTCCCGACGCGGAAAACGCCCATAGTGGGCGCCTGAGCTGTAGTTGCGCGGACCCGGCAGGAACTGCGTACATTGAGCGTCGGGGCGTAATATCGTGTGGCCTATCTTGACAGGGATAAGCAGACGGCTCGTATCTCTGTATGTAGTGTGTTTTCGCAGTACAGTGTCTATTGAAGCGATTGGTAGCCCAAAAGTCACTTCGCTTGCTGCAGCGGCAGCGTTTTCTTACGCCAGCGTTGTGCTGAGTTATGCCACGTCGAATGCTATAACGGAGTTAGCTGTTAGTCTTACTTTATACAAAATTTCAGTTCGTTGCAACCACATTTGTAGCTTTGCCCTTACGTCGTAGCTGTGGCTTTTTATTCTAAGTGGAGAAGAATCGCGGCCAGCATTCCGACACTGTTGCTTGAGCTGCGACAGTGATTATGAAATAACAAAGCGTAAGGACTCCTTAAATGCTCTTTGTGCACACACAACCTACCATATGTACATTTAAAGGGGCCCTCTAATGCTTGAAAACATCGGTGCTGACCGCATAACTCGTAGTGGCGCTTGTAAAAATTATTGCTAGCGGAAATGACGCCGGAAGGTTGCCACCATATCATTAGATAAATGCAACGTTAATTGTAATCGCAGAGGCCCGTGTGCTCAGATTTGGGTGCACGTTAAAGAACCCCAGGTAGTCGAAATTTCCGGAGCCCTCCACTACGGCGTCTCTCATAATCATATAGTGGTTTTGGGACGTTAAACCCCACATATCAATCAATCAAATGTAATCGCAGTATTGCATCACAATAGGAATCACTATTAAATTTTTTTCGTTTGCATGATTTTTCACTCAAAGCTGAGGGGAATGAAGTTATCCGAATTTCTCAGCTTGAAAACTTCAAAGCTGGTCAAAGATTGCGCCGAACGCCATGGCTCCGGACGAAACGCGCCAGGAACGCTCCAGGCGCTGTTGTTTGAAGAAACTAAAATAAAAACTCCCAAGCATTTCCCCGAGGGTGAACATGGTTAAGTGTGAATACACGGGGTGATGCTATGAGGGGTATTTATTAATTCGCACTATTATATTTATTAATCACACTATGGTGCCTTTCTGGTGTAATGGTTCCTGGGAATCGCGATTTGATCAGACAGGGGAGTTTACGTTAACTCACTGGCGAATGCCAACGGATTTTAACTTTACTCCCCCTCACGACCCGCTCTCGACGGGAGACTGAGAGAGAAGGCGGGCGCGCGAGAGAGAGGGGTGCGCGCGCAGCTGCGGCGAGCGATGAGAGCGGAGGAGCGAGCGAAGGGGGAGGGGGTATAAGGCGCGTTACTGACACCGATATCAGCGTCGCGTCCGTGGCTTATTCGGTAGAGCGTGGCGCTGCGGCCCGCCAAGTCCTCTTTCTTTTAAAGATAGAGAGAAGACTGCGGACGCCGCCGACGGCGGTGGATGGTTTGGGGTCGCTTATAAAGTGTATTCACACTTAAAAAAATTGTAAGGGCGTTGACATATAGACGCAATCACAAAAAGAAAAATCAGTAAAGCTACAAAACATAGAAGCGTTCGCGAGCTGGCTCGTTTTGCACATGTTTATTATTTTTTATCATCAACACGTGGTTCTGGGCATTACGGGCAATATCTCATGCGAGCTTCCTGTACGGTAGGGCTTTCAGTAAATTTCATTGGGCAGCCTTCCGACGTCATAGTGTGAGGGAAACACGGTCAGGTGTGCCCGCGAAAATCTAGTTGGGGGCAAGCATCTATTTAATTGTATTTTGATATTTCTACACTGAAAAACTTTGCGCTATGTGCCCCTATCACCACCGTTCTTGTGGCACTTATCTCTTAAGCCTTCAGTGTAGGCAGCCAGCTGAAAAAACATGTAAAACTATGAGGTCGTGAAAAGTGTTAGAGCGCCCTTTCAAGTCTACGACTAGAAAACAATTCAAATGACACCATAACAAAGATGCTACTAGGGCGTTTTTATCCACGACATGGAGCACGTCAGGCACCGCATAGACACGGTGAAGCGAGCTCACAGTCGTTTTGTCGTGTAAAGGCTGTTTCACATGCCGCTATCGCAGCGAAAAAAAAATCGTTCCGTTCGCTCCAATCGCTCTGTTCGCAACTGTCGTTAATAGTGGTTTCGTTTCACATGGACCGCGAACGGTCTGCGATTTTCGCTCTGCGACTAGAGTGGCGAGTTCTTGCCACCAGCTCATTGTAACAGACACGAATGTAACTTAAAATATATGCATTATGATATCATGAAGTTGCCGTGAACGGTAACGAAGGGCCTGCTTGTTTCAGTCATTCAAGAACACTTTCGAGTCTGAATTCATTTTAAAATGCCCAGCATCGACCATTACCAAAACAAACAGGTCGACTCTATTTCGACTGGCTTGAACGGAGCAGCCCTATTTCGACGGGTTCCCGACCAAATATCGCTCCCGTCGCTGCGATCAGAGCGAAAATTTCCAACATGATGGAAGCTCGCCACTGACCGCTGCGGAGGCAGCGAACTGCTCGTTTTTTCGCTGCGAGCGAATTCGCAGCCTGAAAATCGCTACTTTTTCTGTCATGTGAAACGGCCTTAAGTTGTTCTAAGCACGATAGGTGCGCGCACAGGGTGTAGGGAATGGGAGGTCGCCCTCCCTAGTGAGAGGGGAAGGAAGGAGCATGAAATCTGCCCCATACAGTGACTTGGTAAGCGGGGAGGGGGGGGGGGCAGTTCAATAAACCTTCGGCCCCGCTGATGGGGAGCCCTGCGCGCAACACTGCTCGGCACGAGGCTTTGCATCGATTTCCAGTGAACACAGCGCAAAGATAACAAGCATAAGTATGGTAAGAGACATAATCAAGTGAGATAAGCGATTAAGGTGCTAAAGGACACCTCACCAAGCCCTGTATTGGCTGCGTTCCCCAAGTGTCGTTGACGAACACTCCAAGCCTCTCTCCACTCTCCAGTGGAACGTAAGGACCGGGTTCTCCACGCGGAGCAGCCACTCCTGGCTCCATGACGACGGTGAAGCGCTGGCCACGGCCGTGCAGGTCTTTAACGAGGTCTGGAAGCTTGGCAAAGTTGTTCTGGTCCAAGGTGAACAACCTTTGCTTGTACAGAATATCCTTGTCCACGTGAGCCACGTCCTGGTAATGAGAACATGACAGTTTCATAAGTTAGATTGAGCATTTCAAAAGTATAGACGAGTAGCAGTAACCACAAGGCTGTTTTGCTGCACAACAAGAACTCCCCCTTAGTCGAGGCGTTTTCCAGCATTGGTACAGCTGTTTATGTGCAGTGTAAATTTTCCCACGTTTGGCCGTGGTCGGGATAGAGGGGGACTCACAAAAACATCAATCACCTGGACTCACTCAGACTCACGGCTCGACCAGTGTCTGAGTGAGTCTGAGTGGGTCGACTCACTAGTCTGTTAGCCTAGATTTCGCTTTTTCGACCATGGTTTCAATGCTCTTTAACACCAATATCTCACATATTCGGTGCTGTTCTTGGCAGCGGTTGATATAGTATACCTTCGATGCATTTGCGATGGAAGCGGAAATGCTGTAGGCCCGTGTGCTCAGATTTTGGTGCACGTTAAAGAACTCCAGGAGGTCGAAATTTCCGGAACCTTCCACTACGGCGTCTCTCATAATCATATGGCGATTTTGGGACGTTAAACCCCACATATCAATCAATAGTATACCTTCGAAAGTGCTCGAAAAGCAGTACGGTCACTCTTCTTGAAAGATATGACAAGATAACACATATTTATCAAGAAATTCTCTGGAATAGTAGCCTAGGGGAGAGGTCAAGGCACCCCCCTACGTAATTCGCGCCTCTCATCAATGAATATTGAAATGGTCTATGAACGACACTGCATTAGAATATGAGCGAGTAGACTTGAGTATAAGCGTGAACAAGCTAATACTGACATTAAGGCTATAAATGAGTAGATAGGAACATAGGTAGGCAAAAAAAAGCGGAACTCACTCAGACTCATTCAAGAAATGTATCTTGTGCATTGAACTCCCTCAAACTCAAACTCGCCAAAATTTTATGGAGCCTAACTCACTTGGACTCGCACTCACGGAAATTTTCTTCAACCGGACTCACTTGAACTCATACTCTCCAATATATACTCATTACTCACCCGGACTCACTCAGACTCGAACCCATGGCTTGATCTGAGTCTCAACGAATTCGAGTGACTCGACTCATGGGTAAAATGGCCGACTTATGCGCGTCGTAAATGAGTCTTTTGGATTTAATGCGTAGTCTGCACTATTCGAACGCATGCATATGTAATATTTAAATGTACATTTAAGTGATTTAAATTCGCCCTCGAACACACATACACACACAAGTAGACACATAAGCTGCATTTTTTCTTTAACAGAACTTCATATCGTAATCTGCATTTCCGAATCAATTTCTAGAACGGCATTCACAAGAAATCGGTGGCGTTAAATAGGAAAAGAGTGAAATCTCACCTGCGGCATGTTCATGTCACGCATTTTTTTCTGCGTGTCTCGCACGTAGTCGGTGGTGCGATAACCCCAGCGGCCCAGGTGGAATCCAAGTGCCCAATACGGTGGCATCATCGGACGGCCCACTGCCTACAAAACAGAACCCGTCGAACAAACTCACCAAAAAGATATAGCTATAGAAATGGCTCGTAAAAAAAAAACTTCAGTCACTCTTTCTAGAAGGAATGAAGGAATGAAGAACAACTAGAGAAAAGGGAGGAGGGTAGGCCAGGCACATGCCCGGTTCGCTACCGTACACCCTGGGGGAATAGAAAAGGGGAGTATAAAGACTGAGAGAAAGAGGGGAAAGACAGGAAACGGGAAAAAATTGCCAGCACATGGGCTGACGCGAATGCAGCTGTGGTACTATGCAAAAGTGAAAGGCGTTCACATAGGCCCGTAGTCCTCAGAAAGTGCAAGAGGGATTCGACTGCCTTGTGGGTGGCTTGTGAACGTTTCGGTTTTCGCCCGCTCATTTCTTCCCCCGTTGTACGGTAACAAACCTGGCGCCTTGCTATATACTGTGATTCTTATAGTGATTCGTGGGATTGTTACGAATCGAGGAAAGCCACTAAATTCCTCAAAATTATGGTGTAATTCGTTAACTTCTGCATTCCATTTCAATATGTCTGATTAACTGGGCATATTCTGCAGCAGTTTACAAGAGTAGGAGGCAGAGCAGATCGTTCGCAGCAGCAGGATTAGAGCCATGCCAACAATATAGTGTAGGGGCGGATGACACAACGGTGCAAGCGCGATCGAGCACTCACCTCGGTGTATTGCCTGACAACTTCTTCGGGAGAGGGTCCCATGAAGAAATAAAAATCAAGGACACCACCAGTGGTCCTCAATGTCACAGCTGGGGTTGGTTGTAGCTGAATCTCTGTGGATTTCAACAATATATGTCTCATATATTACGCTGGAATAAACGAATATAGAAAACTCTGCGTTGCCACACGTTAGTGTAGCGAAGGTTGTCTTCCCTTCAAAAGACTCAACTGTCGCTAAAAAGTAATTGCATAAATATGTTTTTAAGCTTATTTACTCGCATCAGCTTAGGATAGCTGAAGTCTCCTTAATTTTATTACTGTGCCTTGCAACTCCGAATATACAACCAATAATAATACCTGTGGTCTGGCACTTGTATTGCAGTTTCGGCGCTATTATCCGATTGCGACGATATTCAATACGAACTAGAAGTCAAGTCCAGTATTCATGGCATCGGGCTTTGCTAAGTATAACTGCTCCTTACATTTGAAAACATTGTATTATGACCATGTGGTATCACAAACATGGCCTCCACGACTAGCTTCAGCAACGCGCAACGGCGCGTTGCTTGCGCCAATCGCGGAGGTCGTGGTCACAAATCACTGCCATCACGCATCAGTCACGCCGTGACAGTGCCGTGGGACCCTTAGCACGCTTCGCCACTAGTAGGCAACTGTCTCCTTCTACAATACACGATGTCCCACGTTAAATGAAAAGTTAACAAAGCTAAACGATGCTCTTGAGAAATGCAGTATATTGGCTATGAGGTGCGCCTTCTACATTTGAGGTAGTAAGCTTTGTCATTAGGATAGAGCAAAATAGGCAATTCATGGTCATAAATGAGTGCTTACCCATGGCGTTGCTGTTGAGCAAAAGCACGGCGTGAGCGCTGTTGTCCTTCTCGATGCACATGTACATCGGGTGCGAGCCGTAGAGATTCGAGTAGTCCTGTGAAAGACCATTTGTCATTATCAGCACGAAATCGTTCTCTGGTTAAATCCCTTCATAAGAACTACGCGTGCAGGTCACCGATCAGAACGTAGTTCAAATTTATTTCACGGTACTTACAACCACACCTTCTCTTTGTTTGTTTTTTGTTTTTCGCTCGGGCATTCTGTATTTATTATACATTTATAGTTTGCTCTGTTGTAACATGTTCTATTCAGTGATCTTGTACCTGCACTTTTTAGTTTCGACTATTGTCAGTTTTTAATAACCCTCGTTGTTGGGCTAGTTGATGCATTGCATCAAGAAAATACACCCAGCCAAAAAAATGAACTAACACAGGAAAAGGAGAAGAAGGCAGGAAAGCGGCTAGACTACGAACTGTTTATTCATGAACGCGAGCCTGAATTATATATAATCATGCGGTCACATGGTCATGTTATAATCTTTTTACAAAAACGCAAAGTACAATAAACTCACGTACATTAACTGTATGTAATCTTCGCGTTTTTATTCATCGAAGATTGCAGAAAAGATTCAAAGAAATCTTCCTCCTTCTTGCGCAACACCACAGAGCTATCGCTGCAACATGTCTCACCATCCTTTGCAATGTGAAATTATTCAAGTATTACACATGCCATTTTTTCTTGGCTTCTGCACAAAATCCTGATTTTGTTCAGTATTGGCTTACATTTACACTGTTTAAGCCCGTGCCTTTCTCTAACAATTCAAGATGTTCCATTGCCCTAATATTCACATAAGGACCCGTTTGGCTTATGTAAACCATCCCGCAAATCAGTGATATTTCATACACCACGCCAACAACACATCACCAAAATCTGCCCATGCTTCGCCTTGCGCTGTGGCTTCTTTTGGGCGATGCGTGCACATAAACCACACAGTTTCTTTGGAGCGGAAAACACCACGGGCACGTCATACCTGACAGCAACTTTTTTTCGGTCCATGCGCAAGACGGTGCGTATAGGGAACCACTTTTGGTCTCCTTGGCTGTGGCCAAGCTTATGTGTGTATGTGTTTTCCTTTCCTTTTTTTAGCAAAACCTCTGATACAGCAGACAATACAGAACTGGGAAAGCCAGCGTTTTGCAGGTTGTAACATGACCATGTGACTCCATGAGTGTTATACTTGAGCCACACGTTCGTGAATAAACAGTTGCCAGTCTAGCCGCTTTTCTGTCTTCTCTGTTTCCCATGTTCGTTCATTTTTTGGCTGGATATATTTTATAAAAGTATTCGCAGTTTGTACCACATTTTTTTTTCTATACGTCCCCCCCATTGGCATTGCTTTAATTTACTAGTGCATAAAACACATTTTCTCACAGGACTTTCTAATTCATATTTAGGCAAACATGTGGGAATTACACACAAATAATTGAAACAGAAAATATAGGAAGTGGCGTCATCAGTTCTTGATACTTTGTAAACGAAATCTACCGAAAGTTTATTCGGTAAACGAAGCCAATCTAAACTATCTGCAAGTGTACTTTAACTTGCCCACTCCCAGCAACTGGTCAATACGACAGCATGCAGACAACCTACTGGTGTAGGATATGGCAAGGCGTTTGCGTTGCTAGTTTCATTCGGTCCATTGCTGTTCGTACCTCAGGGAAGGCGTCCCTGTTGAATATGGCCCACGTCCTCCAATTCATGTCGTGCTTGAAATGGTCGTGCACGTGTTCCCCAAGACCATACACGAGGCTGCTGGGCAAACGGGCCGAAATCTGCAGGAACTGGTGCGAGAACACCAGCGCACCAACGCCTGTGTCGAAGCTGTAACGGCCATACGAAAAGAGTAAGTAATTGCATAATTAAGTGAATAAGTAAATAAGGGAATAAGTTAGTGAATAGGTAAGTAAGTGAATAAGTAAATAAGTGAGTGAGTGAGTGAGTGAGTGAGTGAGTGAGTGAGTGAGTGAGTGAGTGAGTGAGTGAGTGAGTGAAAGATGATGTCATGAAGAAACATACAGCTTGCAACGCGGATTTTCTAGTTTCGCCCATTAATTTTAAAGTTTAGCACTCAAGGCCGGGTGGTAAGTTGACAGGTATTGTTACCATTGTTATTGCCGTGTAGCACAGTGATATCTTAAAATACGACACCAGCGCACAACCCTGGCAAGCTTTGTTCGACAAATTCGCTGGCTTGATAACACTGAAGACCTTTTGCATAGTGTTGTAATAACTGAATGTATGTGTAACTAATATGTGAAAAAGCTATATATCAGCATCTTAGTGCAGCAGTGACCTACAAAACCAGTAGTCCGTTAGCCATCACTCATTACCATCACCTCAGTCGGCTTCTCGCGTGCGTAAATGCGCAGTCATTTATATAAGTGACGCTCCGCAAGTGAGTAGTCTAATCATCTCTTCAGCTCAAGTCGAAACTATGGCGACCAGAGCTTCCCACAGTGTATAATGTTGGGTCACCTGATTTCTATATCATTCTCGGTTCCATTAGGGCACTCGAACTGCCGCCACGTATGTCGCAAACCGGCGGAAAGCTATGCGTAGATTAATGCAGTCCGCCGATTCAATGCACCTCAGTGAACGAATTTAACGTGAATGCACACCTTCGTATAAAGCGGCACGAGCTATGTTCATTTTCCTTCCTGATTTCGTTTTGTGCATCAACCCTCTGTTCATTCCGTTAGGATGGCACACACTCTCTCAATTTACGATGAACGACATGGCTCCGCAACACAAGCATGACGCGCTGACTCCAGACACGAATAGCAAGAGCAAACCCTATGCTTGTGGCACGTAGAACTGCTATCAACCTAAAGCGTCCGATACTCAGTTCAGACACAGGGAGCACTCAGCCTCTGCTCACATGACGGTACCCGTCTTGGTTCGTCGCACTTGGAAACTGAACGGATCGCTGCCCAGGCTGTAGCTGGTAGCGTACATCTGCACGTCCCCTTCGTGAACGAGAGGAGATCCGAGGTCCATCTCGACGGGGATCACGGGGTCCGGGACCTCGTAGCGCTGCTCGGAAGAGTCGTAGATCTGCATACGTGCACGGCGTTGTTGTAAATGCGGCAAACAGTGTCTGCTTCTCAAAACGCTTAGCAAAAAATTCAGCCCGTACTACTGACATTTAGTAGTCAACACTTTCTAAGGGCGGAGCTCTTTAAGCTTTTTGTAGCGTTGGGCAGAGCGAACTGGAATTATCATCATTAACCTGGCCTGTCATTTTTGTGGCTATTATTTTACTTTTCTTTATTTCCTCACGCTGTTCTTTTTCGTGATGATGGCAAGCTTTAGTGCTAACTATACAACACGGCGCGCTGCCTTAAGTCTACGTGCTGCAAAAAAGTGAGGTGTAGTTTGCGAATGAAGACGTATACCGGTAATAGTATACGTGCATCAAAAAAGTGAGGTGTAGTTTACGAACGAAGACGTATACCAGTAATAGCACCTGTAAGCGTCTTAAATCAATGAAAGATCTGTTCCCATCCATTCTTGTGTTTTGCAAGTCTCTCTGGCAGATACTATACAACCTAATGAGGCGCTTTTAGACAATCGCACAGGTGGGAAGCACTAAGCTCTATGCTACCATCCAACCGATTCAAAGAAAATCGAAGCACGTACCTTGACCCTTAGGCGATATGGCGTCTGCATATGGACGCGCACCTTGAGGTGCGTGATATCGTCTCCGTACCGAGAAGGGGACGGGATCCTCAGCAGTGGCACCTCGTAGCCAGCGAACAGGGACTCCTCGGGGCCCGCTATCCGGTAGCCAGAGTTGAGTGGCAGTATGCACTTGGGCACATGGTCTCTGCAGCCATATAAGCAATTGTGCACTCTTGGTAAAAAATGTGTCAGAAGATAGCACGATGTGCCCTGCAAGAGCAATGCGAACAACGAGGCAGGATAATCGACGGAATGGTCTCGAGATAAAAATGTATACCATCGGTGAAATAATGCCAATGGAATCTTGGCATGTACATGCATGTACCATTGTTCCTTTCGCATTGCGCAGAGCTCCCTCCTGTTTCCCCCTTTCATTACAGACATTGGACATTCGTTCATTTGTTAAACAGAGCAACGCTTCCGTTTGTATACGGGCAACAACGGTGGTCATATGTTCTTATCCAGACAAACATGAAATAGCAAGTCACCACAACGAAAGATCACATTTCCTTATTAGAAACAACTGCTCGCCGACAATCTTACGCTCGAGAGAGCATCGATCATTGCAAAAGGGTTCGTACAAGTACGCATGTGACCAGCCAACATCGAGAGCCGTAGTTCTGTACACTTGCCGGCGCCGGATTTTTCGCTAACGACGCCGCCACCGAAGTATGTTTTAAAGCTCCGCTGAAAAGTGAAGAATGAGCCGCTCTAACCAGTGTCCACTGCTCACAGCAGTTCACCGCACCTGGTCTAGGGTTGCCACTTGGTTTCCCAAGGCCTTTATTGGAAACGTGTCGGCGCGCACACAATAGACGAAAAGAGAAAGGCGATAATACACACGGGCACAAACTCGCAACTCTGTCTTTTGTATACTGTATATATTTAGCCTTGTCTTAACGGCATGCGGTAGAGGTCATCGCTCTGCGTAGAAAAGGGTTGGAAGTCAATAAGAACGCACGTACAAATAGCCTAAGGTGCGCAGCAGTCAGAAAAGTTGAAAGCTATAAAAAAAATGTTGCGCCACGTTTAGTTGTCGGCAGTGCTGCAATATCTGTGTTAGCAAGCTTTGCTCACGAAGTCGGTGATCTTGCGATTCGAGTGGTGATACTTTGAGTGCCTTCATCTGAGAACCCCGATGAAAAATGAAGATGCTGATAATCACTGGCTTCATATTCACTAGTGCGATAAGTATGGCGTCCAGCATCGAGATTTGACCAGGTGCCCAGGTAAGAGAACTAATATTGACAGCCACAACTTACTTCAAGCACGAAAAGAAATTATGCGTGCAATATACTTGTCAAAAAAATTAAATGTATCCAAAAGCAAAGTTTTGACAAGTGCCAACTATTTTCATTTGTGGCACATTTGTCACTTCTATGAACGTACAAGTAAACGGAATAATTTAACCAAATTAGGGGAACTAATCGAAGAACTTGATTGATTGTTGAACACAGCCTAATGAAAGGAAGAGAAAACGAGGCCAAAGTACTTTCTTTGTGACGTTTCTCAAAGGTTCAAAGAATGAAACAACTCTACACAGGAAGGCAAATTAGCAACACCAACCATTTCGTGCGCATAATACATAGACAACACCTATACAGTTACTCGAATACACTTGATGTAAAATAAATTTTCCGTAGATTACCTCGATGTGTACGAAGTTACTTCAAGCATGCGTAAAAACAGCTGCAGCGTTGGTAAGCTAAATTCATTCGGTCATGTGAGTGGAGACAACAGAGGTAATGTGCATCATGACCACGCAGATATTTCACGTGGTGCTCCTATAAACACGTCATTGCCTGTGAACTGCGATGTATGTGTGGCTTTTTTCTGTATTACTGGCAGTCATTGGCGTCGTAAGAATTTTCCCCTGGCTAGAGCAAATTCGTCTTGCATAGCAGCTGGCGAAGAGGAACAGAGACGAAGAGGGATGGCAAGGAGTTTAACCAGATGAGCGTCCGGTTTGTTACCCTGCACTGGTGATAGGGGGGATGGGGATTAAAAAAAGAGACAGAAGAGAAGGAGATCAAATCACGCACAAAGGTGCAGAGTCAGTCACTGAGGCCAGAAATTTTGTGACCAACAGGACTTCAGCATTCCGACATCCGACAGGGAAATTGCAGCCTTGGAGAGGGTCGTGGGCGCTCCGTGTGGACTAGTGAATCGCTGAAAACACTGGATCGAGAACCTCCAGCAATGTCAGGGCCGTTTGGGCTGACGGAGTATTTAGCTTTTTCAAATGCCTAATTATGGTCTCCATGAGAGATCGCAGCGTCGCAGGGATGTCCTGGTCTTTTTCAGGCATGACGTGGTTAACCAGCACTGTCGTTGACTCAGTCAGTGTTGGCTCGGTCTGCTGTGACCGTTCAATTCGCTGTGGATAGCGCTGTGGCTTTGACTGTGGTTGTGGTTGTGGCTCTGGCTGCATCTTTGGTTATGCTGGCCAATTATCACTGTCCATACGCTCTGGTGTGGTCCTGTCCTCAGAAATTGACGCGGACACGTATAGCCTAGGAAGCAAAGGAGGTTGTGGAACTTGCGAACTACGTGTCGCAGAGTCCCTTGAACCACTACGGCACCAGGAGCGCCGCATTCTGACGACAGCAACAGCTTCCCGACGAGACGACTGGTCTCGCACCATCTGCTTAAGAATGTCCTTTTCCTTCTGTATCTTGGGGCAGTAATTTGACGAAGCCTCGTGGGACCCGAGGCAATTGCGGTACTTGAGCACCGTGGCGGCGCAGGAGTTTGTAGCGTGCGGTTCGGCGCAGCACGAGCAAAATATTGTGCTCTGACACACGGCGCTCACATGTCCAAACCTCAAACATTTGCGGCATTGAAGTGGCCTTGGAATGAACTGTCGTACAATATGCCAAAAGTGGCCCGCCTTGACATGCGAGGGCAGAGATTCTCCTTCGAATGATTGTTTAATAGAGCGAGATGTGCCCATGCGAGACATATGTATGATATTGATGTCATCAGCCACTGGTTTCACAAGACCGGTCAATTCTGAGTCCGAAGTTCGAAACAGAGATGGTGTGGCTTGGAGGCCGAGAGAAGGAGGGGGACAGCGTCTACAAAGGATCTGCAGCGTCTACAGTATCTATACAGTATCTACAGCGTGTACAGCGTCTACAAAGTAGACGCTGCAGATACAAGAGTGACGTACGCATTCATTGTTAGGTTTTAGTAATCGAAAGCACGAGTGCCTGGTCCCTCACTTTTCTATCATCCTAAATGAATCGGCTCCCATAGTTTCCAAACAACTGCTGCGAAACTGGTCACTCGTTTTCTGTAAATACCCGTAGCTCGCGATCTCGGACGGCCGATGCGCCTTTCGTGCATGCCGACCTGAAGTGTTCCCTGGCGGCAGGGCCGTCCTTGTCGTTGCGAACGTTGGTGACAGCCCAGCAGCATCCGCGGTCCTCGCACGTGCTCAAGTCAACGTCGGGGTTCTCCGGGAAGCAGTCGAAACGGTTCCGCTCCAGCACCGGTGCCTGAGCGACAAAATAAGAACAGAAATAAAACAGGAGTCGTCGCTCATCACGTGATCGACGGACACCGATACTTCGAAGGTATCTCTCCGGGAACTACTTTAAATTACTGCAAGGACATTTCATCATTCACGTATTCGCGTCAGTAACACACTAGCGCTCAAGCCTAGCAATCGGGGCCCTAATTAACAGCCTCTTACGCTGTCGAATTGTTCGTAAGAGGTATCTAAGGTCGATTTCATTTTAAGGGCATGATTGACTTACCACTAGTGAAGGCGGAGGAATAATGACAAATATAGCATAAATATTCGTGTATACGGATACTATAGTGCCCCCGCTAGAAATAGCAACGCTAGAAAAAAAGACAACACATACATTGCTCGAACAAAATACATGTGCAAATGGTCAACTAGAGGCCCTGTGCAGTCCTACATGGACGCTACGTATGTAACCAAACACAGGTAGTACTGGGCAAGCTCGTACATGCCGGACCACCAAACAGTTGCTGTTAAGCTTCTCTGGGACTAGTTTTAGGAGCGAAGATCCTTAAGGTGAGGGTCGTTCCCTCCTAGATGTACGTCCTAGTCACCGTGGTCGTAGTAGCCACTTCTAGTTAGTTTTAATAATCACTCACCAGATGGCATTGTGCCTATATGCTCTTTAGGTTAACCGTATGTGCTCATGATTTTTCAGCGAACTAGTAGCGCGGGAGTAACACAGACACGAAGCAAAGAGGAGGCACACAGAACAAGCACTCATTCGCTGAACAATCATGAATTACCAACTAGCCCACCTTTCCATCCTGTAAGTGCTCCCCACGGGACCTAAAGGTAGCATATTCATTTACTCTTATGTCCTTGTCAATCATAACACTAGATGGCGTTAAATGATTTTATAATAAGAAATTCACAGCATATCACGGAGTGAATGATGAGGAGTGTACATCCATCCGTCCTATGCATGCTCCAGTTCGATAGGAGTGGACGGACGGACGGACGGACGGACGGACGGACGGACGGACGGACGGACAGACGGATGGACGGACGGACGGATGGACGCTTCGCCCCACTCCCAATCATTCACTCCATGGATATGCTGTGAATTTTTGTGTAATAGTCGGCCTCTTCTATTTCAACAACACATGTTGTAGGCTGAACTCAACGGAAACTGCTTGTTATAAACCTTCTCAACGAAGGCTCACCGGGCGCCACCATGGGCCACTCTGGTGTAACATGTGTAAACTCCCGAAAAGTGCAGGGCCGACGCTGTGACGTCAGCTTTTGCACTCCCATGCAACAGCCTAGAAAGAAGAAGATCGTCCTATCCGTAATAGAGGTCTATTGGAACCGCATCACGTCATTTGTTTCAAAAGTTTGTTGACCAACTAATAAACAATTGAGATATTAAATTGCTTATTTACTGCTTTTACTGCTTATAGAGTATACAACCAGTATAAAAGAGCGCACGGAGAATCGTGTCTCTAATAGGCGTACGCTAGCGCAGGCTTAAATTTTTCTTAGGCTTTCTGTCAAGGTGTTGCAGAAATTTAAAGATCCTAGCCTTAGAAACTTCGCTACCATTAACTCATTGAATCATGGGGAGCAGAAAAACATAAAATGAAGAAGAGCGAAGAGAAGTAGAAAGATAGGGATTGAATATATATGGGGCGTGACGCTCGCGTCGAGCTAGCATGTCTGGCCTATATGCTAATGTAAAGTTTCCTATGCAACGGGGTTTATTGGCACAAGTAGTACTTGCACAGCAGGTCTATTGATGCGGAAAGCGGGCGGCAGCAACGGACTCAGGAATCACAGCACTCGGGGCAAACGCTCGCGCATGGCTCCTCTCGCTAAAGACGTGACCCACTGCGGCACATAATCTTCTTCCTCTCTACGATGCCCCGGCGACGAAGACGAGCCATCCTGGCAAGTCAAGGTGACAAAAGTAGGAGTGGGTCGTGATAGGGCTTGAGACAACTCACGTGGACAGTCTCACGACCAAGGCGTCGCCTGTCTGTAGATGGCGTGACCGGCTCGATCACGTAAGTTACATGAGATCGACGTTCGACCACGTGATAAGGACCGTGAAACTTGGGGCCAAACTTAGAGGACAGACCTGGGGAGTGGAAGGGCAGTCGGAGCCAGACGAGCGAGCCCACGGCAAAAGTCTCGACTTGCTGGTCGCGGTCGTGGCGGTCTTTTTCGAGTGCTTTCTTGTCTGAGGTGAATGATCGGGCCAACTGACGACACTCTTCAGCGTGGTGCACAATTTCAGAGAGAGGGTTGAACTCTGAGACGTCGGGACGATACGGCAAAATGGTGTCAAGGGTGGAGCATGGCTCACGCCCATATAAAAGAAAGGCGAGAAGCCTGTGGTTGACTGCGTCGCGGTGTTGTACGCATAAGTCACAAATGGAAGAATAACATCCCAGTTCGATTGGTCGGAATTGACATACATGGCGAGCATGTCTCCTAGCGTTCTGTTGAAGTGCTCAGTGAGACCGTTGGTCTGCGGGTGGTAGGCTGTAGAGGTGCGGTGCACCGTGCGGCATGCCCGAAGGAGTTGTTGTACAACTTCGGATAAAAAGACACGCCCTCGATCACTCAGCAGTTCACGTGGTGCCCCATGACGCAGTACGAAGCGTCGCAAGACGAAATTGGCTACGTCACGTGCACCAGCCGTAGGTAGTGGAGCTGTTTCAGCATACCTCGTCAGATGGTCGACCGCGACAATGATCCATTGATTTCGAGTGGCAGTGTACGGAAAGGGACCATATAAATCAATTCCAACGCGGTCGAAAAGGCGCGCCGTACAAGGTAGAGGCTGTAATAATCCGGGTGAGTGGGCCGCTGTCTTTCGTCATTGGCATAATGAACAGGACCGAATGTATTTTTGTACAAAGGTGTACATACCACGCCAGTAGTAACGCTGGCGGATCCGGTGATATGTTTGTAACACACCAGCGTGAGCATGTTGTGGGTCAGCGTGAAAATACGCACAGACATCAGATCGCATGTGGCGTGGTATAACCAAGAGCCATTTACGGCCATCCGCATGGTAGTTTCTGCGGTATAGTTGCGCATCAGGTATCTCGAAATGTGTGGCTTGGTGGCGAAGAGCGCGTGGGTACGCAGACGATGAGGAGTCGGAAAGAATGTTGAGGAGAGATTTTATCTATGGGTCTTTCCGCTGTTCAGACGACATGCTTGAGACGGAAATGGGAGTGATGGGAAAGCTGGCGTCCGAATGCAAGTCTGCGCTGGATCTCACTGGTGATCATGAGAGAGCGTCCGCATCAGAGTGTTTTCATCCTGAGCGGTAGACGACAAGAATGTCGAATTCTTGTAGGCGAAGAGCCCAACGTCCAAGGCGACCTGAAAGATCTTTTAGCGACGCCAACCAACAAAGTGCGTGGTGGTCTGTCACAACGTCGAAACTCTGTCCGTACAACTAAGGACGAAACTTGCTCAATGACCAAACGATTGCGAGGCATTCTTTTTCAGTTACGGAGTAGTTCATTTCCGCTTTCGTGAGTGCGCGGCTTGCATATGCGACGACGTACTCTAGAATACCGGGCTTTCGTTGCGCGAGTACGGCTCCCAGACCAACGCCACTGGCGTCTGTGTGCACTTCAGGGGGGGGGGGGGCACTTGGATCGTAATGGCGTAGAATGGGTGGCGACGTAAGTAGGCGGCGCAGTGTAAGGAAGGCTTCGTCACATGCCGGGGTCCAGTTAGAAAGATTAGGCGGACCAATCAGTAGTTGCGTAAGTGGGGCTATCATCGATGCATAGTTGTGGACGAAACGGCGAAAATACAAGCACAAGCCGATGAAGCTCCCAAGTTCTTTGAGTGAAGTCGGCTTCGGAAAGTTGGCTACGTCTCGAAGTTTGTCCGGGTCGGGGCAAATTCCATCCTTTGACACAACGTGACCAAGTATAGTAAGTTCGCGAGCCCCGAAGAGGCACTTCTTTAGGTTAAGCTGGAGGTTTGCCTTGGTAAGGCACTGAAGAATTGTGCGCAGACGGTCGACGTGGGTAGGGAAATCCGGAGAAAATACGATAACATCATCAAGGTAGCATGAGCATATCTGCCATTTAAGGCCGCGTAAAACGCTGTCCATCATTCGTTCAAACATTGCAGATGCATTGCACAGACCGAATGGCATAACCGTGAGTTCATATAGGCCATCCGGCGTAACGAACGCTGTTTTGGGACGGTCACACTCTGCCATCGGAACCTGCCAGTAACCTGAACGTAAGTCCAGCGAAGAAAAGAATTCGGCACCTTGTAGGCGATCGATAGCGTCGTCGATGCGGGGAAGAGGGTACACATCTTTCCGTGTAATTTTGTTCAGTCGCCGGTAGTCGACACAAAATCTAATCGAACCGTCTTTTTTCTTCACTAGCACAACAGGTGAAGACCAGGGGCTAGAAGATGGCTTGATGACACCGCGCTGAAGCATATCGTCCACGTGCTCTGCAATTACACTTTGTTCCTTGGGTGATACGCGGTAGGGGCGTTGCCGCAAAGGAGGGTGCGTTCCCGTGTAGATTGTGTGAGCGACGGTGTTAGTTTGACTAAGTGCCTTGTGAGGAAGGTCAAATGAGTCACGGAATTCATGCAGAAGGGTTATTAGCTGGTTCCGTTGATCCAGAGGAAGCTTGCTGTCGATGGAACCATCGAAAATATCCGAGGAGTAGTCATCCCGCGTAAAAGGAGAAGTAACATCGTTCAGTTGAAGTTGCTGGCCAGCGTCGTGGGACTCAATAGGCACAATAACGTTGTCATCAACAGGAAGAACATAGCCCAGTGTTTCGTGAGCTCTTAAGGTGAGAGGGCATGAGCTAGGATTACAAACGACAATTCCGGAAGTATCTTGGTGAGGTGGCAGAACGGCGTATGGCAGAGACGTACCGTGGCGGCGACTGAAAACGTCAGATGGGGAGAACACAACGGTAGAGCCGGACAATTCAGTGCGATTGACGGGGACAACGATGGCACTAAGAGGGGGAACATCTATGTCGGAAGCAACAAGAAGCTTGCCAAGGTGAGTGAGCTGATTGTCGGTAGATGGCGCATCAGAAAACACAGAAAATTCCACCTGCGCGCGAGCGCAGTCAATTACAGCATGGTGGCGTGACATAAAATCCCATCCAAGTATCACGTCGTGGGAACAAGCGGCCAACACGAGAAACTCGATGTGGTACAAGACGTCCTCAATGATTACTCTCTTCCTCTCTACACCTATAACAATTTACGAGTGTTATTGTGCACGCTTTCGATAAACGATGACCCACTGTGAGCCTAAAAAAACCACAAAAGTACTTTCTCCTAAACCCTGTTGAATGTAACTTGAAAGTGAGAACTGTGGTCGCTGGGTGTAGCGATGATTGCAAAGCACTCGTCAGTTCCAGTTCATATGTTCCAAATTACGAGTAACTTCAGTGTTTTGTGAATTTGTGTGGATGAGCCAGTGGTTTATATACTAAAGCTCAAGACCAGTTATACACTCGTGAGCAACAGCATACGGACCACGGGACTGTGAGCCTGAATTGTCGTGTGCGCCATCTATAATGGCGGCTAGTCTGCCGTCAGGAGCATTGCTCTGGTGAATCCGCGGCCAGAGCAATGCTCTTGACAGCAAGCTGTTCAGCATTAGGTGGCACAGACGACAATTTCGCTACGTTATCCCATGATTCTTATGCTTGCTCACGGGTGTATTTGATATTGATTTACTCAAGCAACCTTCGCCTGATGTTGAGAGGTATACAACAGTGAATGACCATACAATACAAAGTCATCCTTTACACTGTCACTGCCCCGCACGGCCCTTTGACGTCACTCACCTCGGGGCACTGCGGCTTCCACTCCGGTGTCGCCGGAAAGGGCGCCAGCGTCTCGTCCAGCGTAGTTCCGCCGACGGTGGTCTCCGCTCCGCCGGACACGTCGGCGACGCGCCTCCCGAACAGGGTTCGCCAAAGCGGGCCCAAGTGCTCCCTGAAGACGAAGTAGTAGAGCGGCACGAAGACCGCCGTGAGCACGAGAAGCACGATGACTGCGGCCAGCAGACAGCGAAGTCGCGTCGACAGGGACGAGAAGTCGTCGTCGCAGCAGCGTTTGCGGTGCTGCTGCGGCTTTAAGGTCACGCCGCCGCCTGCCAGGGCAGACTCCGCACTCGTCCCGTCCTCGGCGCTCGAAGACGAGCCCTCTTCCTCGTCCTCCTCCTGCGTAATTCGTCGCACAAAGCTGGTCAATCAGCGCAAAGGTATTTTTCCTCATGTCAATAAACAAAACACTTGCCCTTACCTACAAAGAAAACACCCCATAAATCCACAATAAACGTAGGCACTTGGCCAACTTTCGCGTACATTACGGGGTAATGCAAAATCACGGCCCCAAAACGTCCATTATCCCCTTTTAGGGACAAAATTTCTGACGAGGCCACGAGAGACCTAATTACAAAGATCGGAAGAGCCACCTGGCTCTACTCAATCAAGCCCAGCGAGCCGGAACTACTAGTGTAGCCCTGTTCTGAGGAGCTCACCCCATTGTCCAGAAGCCTTAAAACTAACAGAAGTTTTTCACTACGACTACTGAACGTGGTACACGCTTCGCGCGTTGGTAATTTGTGCTTTAAATTGCAGCGAGAAACTATAGCGCACACGATCTAAACACGACTACGTGGATTCAACGGCACACCACGACGGCCTAACTTAGGTGAGGGTGAAATCCACGTAAACTACAAGAATGAAAAGGAGGAACTTGAAAAAAAGACTAGAAAGTTTGGACAGACGCCCCTTCATAATACAAAAATTACTTTATACAACGGCCTGAAAGCCTCTTCAGCAAAGGGCGAACGTCTTTCTAAACGACTTCTTAGTAGTAAACAACTGTATTCGCAAAGCTGTCGTGCACACTGGACTAGGTAGCCGCTTCTAAAGAACAGCTATGTGTTGCCATATACGGAATTACGTTTTAGTTCATGCTGTCAGCATATCTTGGATATAAGTCTGTGAGTATGAATGTTATATTGAAAAGTGAACGCCTGCAAGCCAGCTGTACCATGTTTTGTATAGCTTCTTAAAGCTTTCCAAATGTTTTTTTTTTACTTGTTCATTCTGTTTCTGGTTAAGTACTTTTTGTTTTTGTTTCTTTCTCTGTATAAATTATAAAAGCAGTGTACTCCCTACAGCAAGCCAGCTCACACAGCAGCCAACACAACGAAAATGTACCCGTGTAAATAGACAGGTTCGTGTTAAATAACCCTAGTGCGTCGAGATTATAGTAGAGTTCACCACTGTACTGTGCGCCTCGTGTTCATATCCTGGTTGTTGGCATTTAACTCCCAGAGATGAATATTATATTACAAGTGTGAATATTACAACAGGGACGCAACCAAAGAGGGGGAACACAACGCGCACGACTTTCCATCCTATATTTTTTTTTCAATGGTGTACTTTCGCGCAGTCACTTGAAGCACATAGTTGTTGATATAATGCAAAGCTGTCAGGCCCCGGAGTCCTTTGTCAGTATAAATTGTACGCAAGTATACATACTAACTTTTCTCGCCCTATCTGCAAGTTGATGCGTGACACTTGGTACTTGTTGCTCACGTTTGGCTAATCCACTAGAATTACTATAATACGTCACTCTGTTCCGAGGAAAACATATTGCGTGAATGTGTTTTGAACAAGTGGGTAACAATTAGAGTACTAGGTACACTGCTACGGGAGAGCATATAGCCGTCCCTCTAGCCCAATTCGACAGATAGCGCATAGTCATGAATGTGCTCGTAGATTTATGTCATACGTCGTGAGGCATGCGCGCTTTGCCGCCACAGTCCACTGGACAAGCGCCGCATTCTTCCTTGTGACACAAAGTGCGAACCGCTAGCTGTACACGCGACCATGCGCGTCGTGTTCGTACAGCATGCTACACACTTTGTAGCTTTTGCTACTTGAGTACTTTCCTCGTTTCTGTCGACGGCTGTGTTATGTCGGTGGCTCCTGTGCGTGTCTCTGCTATTTAAAATGAATGACTTCGGTCAGCGTGGCTCCTTCCCGGTTGTTATGTGTAAGTAATTCATCACGACGTGACAGTCACAGCGGTCGCGATCCTCTAGTAAAAAGCGTCTGCCTTAAGTGCGGCATTGCTCTTGCGTTGCTCTTGCATTGTGATTCAGGGTCAAGGTTCTGCGGCGAAAATAGGGTGAGGGATGCCAGGACGGAGTGCTTGTCAGACATTCCTTATATATAGCATGTCGTCATTCAATATTATTCTACCATCTTCCGTTTTCGCCTATATATAATATTAAAATCTGTAATGCTTTGTGCAATATATCAGCTACCATAGAATACTTATTTGCCCATTTTGGTGATCGACATCATGTCAAGAACTTAGTCCTTGCCGCCATGTACCACCCAATATTGCCTTAAAGAACACCTCCGCCTAAAATCCCCATTTCGCCTCCCGTTAACCCTCACCACCGCTCCGCACTGAGAGAGAGCGGCGCGAGGACCTTTGCCGCAATCTGCATTTAAGCGGCACTATCAGGGGCGCCCAACTTTAACGACCTCAACTCGTTCTGATGCAACGCGCACGCCCACATGTGCGACCCTTGTTGCCTGTACCACTCGGCAACACTAGCCCTGGCTTCCTTCAGTGCTAGGAGGCACGATTCGAGACCACGCTTCAACGGGCATTCCCGCAACCGCTAGGCGAGGTTTCTTCCATGTGTATTCGTTCTCGGGACCTGCTGCTGCGTCCTCGGTTGGGTGTGGTCGGTTGGGAGGTCGCCGTGTTCTCGCGCCGTGGCCCCGGCGGCCATCCGCGATTAGAAGCGGTCGTGAGCGCGGCGTTGGGCAGGCGCGTCACGGACGCCCAGAGCGCCTCGTCGTCCCCCACTTTTCGGCTGACTGACACACTTTCGAGACTCTTTATCGCGTGCGTGTACGCGCGTATGTGTTTTTCGGTGATCTCTAAGGCGAAATGAAGATGCGTTTGTTCGTCGGCATGCCGAGGATGGAGATAATTAAGCGCAGCGTGATTACGGGGGGCGTCAATCATGTTTCACGCCCGAGCAAGCTCGCGGAAACCCGCGCAATCTCGCCAGACGCGCAGTCCATCAAACGCAGCAATAGAGAGAGAGCTTTAGTGCCCGGGACCCCAAGTGGCTCACGTATATTCACGCCCTTACGGATGCATATTGCGCGACTAGAGATGCCCCGAAATAGAGACCTCACCTCTCTAGCCCTCTTCCCCCAATGTAGAGGTGTTACCAAGCTGGAAGAGTGTCTTCGTGACATCCCCGTCCTATCTATCTATGTCCTCATCCGATACTGCGAGTGCGCTTGGTGCCAACAATGAAAGCTCCAACTAGGTGTATACTTTTAGCTTCTAATACGCGTGATTCAATTCAGCGTCAAAAGACTGTGCTTTGTTCGCACTAGGGCTTGTGTCATGCGGCGGGATGTTCTTGGTCTTGGAGAAGCCCCGCCTTCGCGTTCATTATACGCAACAATGGCGTTCTTGACCTTCCTTTAAGCCGACAGGCTCAATGGGAAAATGTAAATTGTTGTAAGTGCTCTTGTTTAACTTCTGTCGCGTGTGAACTCGCTGTGTGTTCCGAGTCATTTCAATGTGTATAATTTGAGTATCGCTATTTGTACACGTCCCCGTTTTGCCTTCCCACGTCTTTCCGAATGCCACCTTAATTACTTTCGTGTACTCCCTCGCGAGCTTATGTATGTTTAGACTGCGAAATTTCACTTGAACGGGCCCCAAGAAAACCCAAGAAAAGGTTCGTTAAAATGAAAGTTCGCTGAACTGGAACAGCTGTGTCACTTGTTATCACGAGCTCAAGAAAACGTAAGTTGTCGAAATGAAATTTGAACCATCTTATGCGAAATGCGACCTATTTGATAGTGAATTAGTCCCTATCTAATTTGTTTTGAAGAATGTAGTAATCTTTCGCTACACTTGTGCACTTAGTGCTGATGTGGTCTTCAGTTGAGTTACTGTGTCCAAGCCCTCATACACCTTTTCCGGCAGTATATGCTGCTGACCAGCGAAGAACTTCAGTTTCTCCGTGTACATCAGTGTTTATTCAGCCGAAATTCTCGGTACTTCTTCTATAAAAGTTGCTTTTTCCTCCTAATATCCTCTTCCCTGAGCTACGACGCTCGCCACAATGTTTTCTGCAGGCGCCGCGGCAGGTGTCTCTGCGCGAGAGCCCCTGGCGACAATAGTCCACACTGTCTGCACCGAGTATTTAAGACAATTCAGACCACAATGACGTGAAAAGCACTAGATGGTGTCACACAATATGTTCGTACAACTGGAATGCTCTCTGCGCTGATTAAATTCGGTGAACGTGTTAGCGTTGGAGCCAATGGTGTTTCAGCGGGGGATTGAAAATAACTTCGGTTAGTCGTGACGCTGGTGTCAAGACTAACCGAAGTGCGAGGCAGCCTTCTTTGTTTCTGTAAGGCTTCCTGTTCCTTTCCTTCTCGCTTTCTTTTTCTTGTTTTCCGTTTATCTTTTACCTTGTTTTTTTCTATTTCTGTTTAGTTTTACTTTCTATTTCTTTCTCTTTCCTGCTCTTTCTATTTTTCTTATATTTCGCCTTTTCCCTCGCTTTCTACTTCCCACTGGATTCCTCGCTCTTTTTTTTTTTTCAATTTTGATATGTGCTTTTGCCCGCGTTACGCCAAGCGCGCGGGCAAAAGCTTTATTTTGCTGATGATCATAGGTGTTCATCATCAAGGCCCTTTAGGAGAAGAGGAAGACGACCTTGGCGACTCCCTATCCCAGACATTACCGCCTTAATTCCGGGATTAACTTGTAAGAATCATATGTCTATAACTGCAATAAAGCAATTAACTTTAACCCATCTTTATACCAATTATGAAGACTTTATTGACGTGTGCATTCAGCAATCATTAGATAAAGAATAGCTTACGCTGCCCCGGTTTTACATGCGATATCACGTAACTTAGACGAGAGGATCCAAAGATTGTTGGCCAGATACCTCCGTATATCTTGTTGGTCTACTACGAGCATCTGCCAGTGCATTGGTAATTGCGGAGTCTCGTCAACCGGCTTTCCATGCTTTGATAGTCACGGAAACATGTCGCCATTATCTTCGGTTGGCAACTCAACTCGCTAATCATCCCCTATACCGAGCTATTCCGGAGAGATCAGCGGCACGAATACATAAAACTAT